TGGTGGAGACGCGGGGGCGGGGCAGTCAAGGAAAAGTCTAGAAAGAGAAGATGGGACCAGATTTTAGAAGACCTAGAATGCCAGGCTGGAGGGTGAGCCAAGACCTGGGGCTCCTGGGGGGTGTGAGCGGGGAGCATCCTGTTAGGAGGGGGTTCGGGGAGGGAACTGGTGAGCTGGAGGCTTCACAGAGGGGAGCTTGTCCTTCGAGAGCAGAGCCCTCCAGGGCCTCAGCTGCAGCCTCCCCCAGCCTCCCCAGGGCTGCAGGCGTGTCGAGACCCGAGGCAGCCCCCCACTCGCCTGTGGGCAGCCCTGTGGCTCTGAGCCTAATGTCTGGCGGGCAGGTGTCTCCCGGTGCCAGCCAGGTGTGGGCCCGGATCGCTGGCCTGGAGAACCAGACCTGAGAGGCGTCTGGGGGGGAGAGCAGGGCCAAGCGGGGAGTGCCCGGGCCGTGGCCTGGGTGCTTGGGACATCACTGTGAGCTATCCGTGATGATGTCCCTTGCGTGGCTTCCTCACAGTTCATGTTCAATAATCCTATTAGGGCAGGTAGAGCAAAAGGTGGTGGTGAGCAGCTGAGACCCAGAGAGGCCAGGAGATGTGGTGGTTACCATGGCAACCTGCCCAAGAAGAGGTGGGCGTCTAGCAACTCAGCCACCTCCAAGCGGCGCGGGCCTCGTGTCACGGGCCCTCCTGCTGCTGAAGGTGCGTGGGGTGGACCGCTACGCACCCCTCCTCTCCTGCAGTGACATCAGAGTATCCCCTTCTCTGCCGTTCTTCTCTGTCCCCACCCACTGCTGCCCCCGCTGGCCATGACTCGGGGAGGCTGAGTCAGAAGTCCCCTCTGTCCTCCCTGCTTCTCATTCCTGGGTGACACAGCTGGTCACAGAATACTGAGAGCTGATCGGAAGGGACAACGGAAGTGGCCCAGCCTAGAGGCGGCCTCTGAGCAGCTCTGGCCATGACCCTGAGGAGGTGCCCAGATGGCACCACAGAGAGAGAGAGCGCTGTTCCTTCCGGCTGGCACACGGGGATGAGTCACCCTGGGGTACGCTGAGCCTGGGGGGATTACCCTCCCCTCCGCAGCCCTTCCAGGGTCTCCCTTCTCAGGGGTCTCCCGCTACAGCAGGGTCCAGCCTCCCTTCTCCAGGGTCACCCCCAGCGGGGCCCCGGTGGCAGGGGTAGAGAGCACTTGGAGCCCACCCGTCCTGATGCCCCCGTCCAGGCGCTTCTGCCTCTGGACACACTGCAGCCACACGGGCGGGTCCACTCCTGCCAGAGGGTCACTGCTCACCACACACAGATCTACCTTGAATTCCTCCAGCACCAAGCACCTTTGACACCACCTTGTTGATTCTTGACTAACAATGCAGTACTAACCTGTAAAACCTTGTTCATGTAAATGTTGCTACAGCAGAAGCTTACAGAAACATGTACAAGTCGTAGGAGGTAAATTTGCACACTTTGAACACACTCGAGTAAAACGTGCAGATTAAGAGACAGAACATCACCAGCACCCCAGAAGCCTCTCCCAGGTCCCCTCAGCCACTCCCCCCGCAAGATGAGTGTTGTCTGGTTTTGAACTTTGTATGATGGGTCCATAAGAAATTTATCTCTGTCTGGCTTCTTTCACCTGAACGTTATGAGATGTAACCCAGCCCATGCTGTGGCTGAAGTTCATTCACTTCACTGCTGGGTCGTTGCTCTGTCCTCTGCATAGACCACGCCTCCTCCATCGCCCACCTGTGGGCAGGCACTGGCGGGTCTCCAGTCTGGGGCTCTGACAGTTCCTGGTGCTGCTGTGAACGTTCTTGTAAATCCTCATGCGTTTCTGTTAGACACGCACTAGGTCTGCGGTAGAAGGGCAGGCATGTGCGCAGCCTTGGTGGATACGACAGCATTAGCCAATGCGTGTGCCCCGCTTCCCGGGCTAGTCTGTAAGCAGGAGCCACGGCTCCTCCTCCTTCGTTTCCCTTCCCCGTGCTCCTAACCCAGTGCCTCGAGCTGCACAACCAGCCTTCTCTGCCCATCATCCAGCTCTGCACAAATGCAGGTGTTTTTCTCACCTGGTAATTGAGATGTAGCCTCCCCAGGAGGCCCCCCAGGATCCTCTCTGAAGGGTAGTGCCCAGGGCCCCATGTCCTGACCTGCTTCCCCACTAGCAAGGACTCAGGCTCAGCCTGTTAACTGCACACGGTGAAGACAGGGCAGGTGGGGACCCAGTGGACTGGGGAGGAGTTCTGTTCTCTAAGGCTGCTTTCTTCCTGGGGCTCAGCTTTTGGGGTTTATTTATGACTGGGAACTGTGGCAGGACCTGGTTTGTAACCACCAGCTGTCGCTATAGCAACTCCTCACTTACACCACTAAAAATAGATCCTCTTCATCCCTGGGAAGAAAAATCAAAGAAAATCAAAGTTGGGGAGGGTCTGTCCGCTCAGCTGCGGGTCCCCAGACAGATTTCACGGTGCAGCGATGTAGCTCTTGGGGCCTCTTTCACCGCCCACCTAAGAGCAGAAAGGGCTGGGGTGGGTGTCAAGTCCACCCCACTGGCATCCTCCAGGCTCCTGGGATGCTGGCATCTCCCCTGCTCTCACCTCATCTGTCTTCTCCTTTATAGGCTGAACTGCAGAATTTAATCTTTAATTATAAAGTCATTTCACTTGGGCTTTATTCAATTCCTTAATCTTAAATCTTAATTCTTCTCTGGGATTGTAAATATTTTTCAAGGTCAGGGACTTAATTAGTAGGGTGGTATGAGAACTCGAAATCCTGTCCTATGAGAAAGAGTTGAAAGAACTGGAAATGTTGGCGTGGGCAGGAGTGAACTTGGGACGGGTGGGAACAGTCTGCAGATACTTGAAGGACTGTCCTAGTGAAGACGGACTTCCTTGTTCTCATCCCACAGGAACACGGGACTCAACTCCATGGGAAAAGCAATATTTCGCCCCAAGAAAATATGTGCATTTCTTTGTAAAGCATTTTCTTGCGTTTTTAAAATCATGAAAGTAGTAAAAGAACATTTCAAAATGTTTGAAAGCTGGGGAGAGCCCCCATGATGACGAGCGCGCACAGCACATGCAAAGGTATTCACCTTTGCATTAGTGTGCCTGTACCAAGCACAGGCTTTGGAGGTGACTGCTCTGGGAGAGGTACCTGGTGTGGACAGGGCGGGGCCGAAGCCAGCTCCACTCTGTCACCTAGTGGGGCGGCCATCCTCGTAGGTGGCTGTGAAGACTCAGGGTGACACCCAGAGCACCCTGCCCCCCACACAGCGCTCAGCAGTGTCGGTTGTTATCGCCAGGGGTGTTCCAGCTGAGGGTGAGTTTTTAAACACAGGATGGGAGATTTACTGAGACTCTCTCTGAGGTCCTGGCTGCGAAATTCTGGCTGGATTAGAACACAGATGTGGGTGAGAATGAGAAATTAGCTTGAAACGTGGAGTGGTCGGGACCAATAGTGCAGGAAGTGGCCCCCTGTGCACCGGCCAAGGGCAGGCAGGGGCATTAGGGAGCCTTGGATGTGGCCGTTCCTAGGGAGACCTCCCCTCTGCTCCAGTGGGACTCTCACTGCCCGGGAGCCACACACGATGGCAGCCAGTGATATATACCCACTCCTTTTTTTGTTTTTTTCATTTTTCTTATTGTCATAAAACATACATAACATAAAATGTGCCGTTTTAACCATCTTTAAGTGTCTGGTTCAGTGACATTAAGCACATTCACGTCGTCGTGCAGCCGTCGCCGCCATCCACCTCCAGAATTTTCTCATCTTGCAAAGCTGAGACCCCGTCCCCAGTTAAGCAGCAGCTCCCCATTCCCCCTCCCCCAGCTCCCACTGTTCTACACTCTGTCTCTGTGAATTTGACTGTTCTATAAGCTCATATGAGCGGATCGTACCGTATTTGTACTCTCGTGACTGCTGTAGCACGTGTCAGAACGTCCCTCCTTTTTAAGACTGAATAATATTCCATTGTTACGTAGCTGCCACGTTCGCTTACGCATCCATCTGTCGTGGACCTGGTCTCTGTCCGCCTAGATGGGCAGTGATGGACCCCGTTCTTCTCATGCTGGACCAGACTCACGCGCTCGCTTCACGTGGGGTGAAATGAGCGGCCCCACTGCTGCCGGGCCCTCCCGGGGCTGCGTGTGCGCCCGCAACGGAGAGGGCCTCGTGCCTCCCCTGCTGTGTGATGAAGAGGTGCTGAGGGTCTAGGGGCCTCCTCTGAGGTGCTGCTGGGTGTCGGCCCCCCGAGGGGATCTGTGGAGGAGGACACCTGCAGCGTGATTGAGGGACAGCAGGCATCCCCAAGGGCCCTCGTCTGATTTTCTCAAGGTGCAAGCTTTGGCTCCTGGCATCATCCTCTGTTACACCGTCCCTCCCAGAGGGCTCTGTGCCCCTTCAGCCTGCGCAAATCAGCACCAACACCTGAGCAGGAGTTAGCTTGTCACACAGAGCAGGGGTGATGAGTGAGGGGTAGTTACTTGGGGTTAGGAAATGTGTCTGGATACTGGGCCAGGGAGGTGGTCTGAGGGCACCAGGCTCTTAGAAGAGATGGTAGAGAAGCCGGGAGGGCTTCCAGGAGGAGGCAGCGGGCCTTGGAGACATGCCTGGCCTTCTTCACGAGTGAGTGAGGGCCAGCCCTGCCACCTGAGGGGTCTGGAGGGTTCTCCTGGGCCAGGGACTCCGAACAGCACAGCCCACGGGGGGTCACCTCTTCCTCGGGTGCAGTGTCCGCAGGAGCAGGGCAGAGCTGACTCGCTGTGGAGACCCTCCTGGGCTTGCCAAGAGGATTAAGAAGGGCTCTGGAGGCTTCCCTGGTGGCGCAGTGGTTGAGAGTCCGCCTGCCGATGCAGGGGACGCGGGTTCGTGCCCTGGTCCAGGAAGATCCCACATGCCGCGGAGCGGCTGGGCCCGTGAGCCGTGGCCGCTGACCCTGAGCGTCTGGAGCCTGTGCTCTGCAACGGGAGAGGCCACAACAGTGAGAGTCCCGCGTACCGCAAAAAAAAAAAAAAAAAAGGGCTCTGGGGCCAGAAAGGCCAACAGTTTTATTTGGTTGGGTTGGCTGAAACATGGACCCTATAGAGGAAGGTCTCCAAAGGCTTAGGGAGATTGGAAAGTTAGCCTAGATTCCCATGTAAGTCCTGCGCTCTCTCTCTCTCTCTCTCTCTCTCTCTCTCTCTCTCTCTCTCTCCTCTCTCTCTCTCTCTCTCTCTCTCACACACACACACACACACCTGGGATGGTCCAGAGGACACCCCTTTCACCAAGACGGTGACAGACAGTTTGTGAGGGAGGCTCTTTGATCAGCTCTGTGGTCGCTCTCATCCGAGGTCAGAGATGACAGCGGGAACGGCAGCCACTGCTCTGGGAATCCTAAACGCAGTGGGGATCGCTGGATCCTGGGCGGCAGGGCCGTGTGGCAACACTTAATCCCCAGAGACGAGACGGGCGTGGTTACCGTGAGGGACAGCAGTGTCAAAGCAGCAGTGTAAACAGGCCGACTCCGGCGGACCGATGGCTGGTTGATCACGGCGGTCCTGGAGGTGAGGTAGATGCAGGCCTCAATTCTTACTTGAAAATCAATGACGAGTTCCAGTTCAAGTGAACCAAAGCCTAACTCGAATCAGAGCATCATGGCCCCTCAGTTAATCCCGAGGTTTGAGCCAGTTTACAAACCCAGAGCCCCTTGAACGAAGGGGAGGGCGGGTCGCCTTGAGAAAGGACCCCAGGATACTGTCAGAACTGTCCACTACTAACCTTTCTCCCAGCCTTCCCTGAAGCTGCCTGTGGCCTTTACCAGGGTGAATGCGTTGGCAAAAAGGTAATAATTAGACTCTTCAGAGATGAGTGTACACTGACTCTGAGCTGACACCAGCCTCCGGAGACCCAGAGCGTTGCTGCGGTGCCCCCGCCCCGGCAGGAGCTTAGGGAAGGAGACGGGGCTGGTGACTCCAGCAGAGAATTTCTCCAGCTCCCTGGGTGGAGGGCGAAAGTCTTTCCCGTCTGCAGACCTCAGTTTCCCCGTTTCTGGAGGCTGAGACCTGAGCGGGGGGGTGAGGGGGGAGAAGGGAGGAGATGGGGCCAGGGCTGTTAGAGGCTGAGAAGTGGGAGCTGGTTAGAGGGTTCAACGGCATTTGGGGAAGTGAGGAATGTCCTGTAATCAGAACCTGCAGCCCGTGTCTATCTAATCGGGTTGGGTGTGTGTTAGCAGCACGTCCAGAATAAGAGAGTGCCGGATGATGTGACAGCCCCTGAGCCGGGACTGGTGTTGAGCTGCTGGCTGACGGGGGACCCGAGGTGCCCGCTCTCCGTCCCCCACCCTCGCCGGCACAGAACCCCGAGAGCGTCTGTCCCTCCCCACCAGAGCCTTGCTGGTTTCGGGAGAACGGACGAATTCTACCTCCCCCGGGCCGCCAGCAGGGAGAGGCTACAAGTGACTGGGAATAGATGCTTGTCCTAGGCAGGTGTGATGCCCAGGGCAGGAAAGGAGCCCTGGTGTCTGGGGAGGAAAAGACTGGTCAGGGTGGAGCAGAAGAAGGAGGAATTTTCAAACAGTCCTACCACCTTTGCAGCCCCGCCCAGCGCAGGTCTTTCAGGCCCCGCAAGCCACATGTAGGGAGCAGCATTTAGCTTTGCTCCGAGAGGACTCATGTGAAGGACAGTCGCGGGGTGCCCCTGGCCAGCATACACAGTCTTTGTGCTACATCCACAGGGGATTATAGATCTCAGAGCAGAAGGAATCTGAAAGGCCCTCATCCCAGCCTCCTGCTTTCAAGTGGGTGCAGCATCATTGCACCTGTTTTGCAAATGAGGCACCTGGGGCTCAGATTATTTGCACAACACCAAGTGGCTAAATATACCGGGAGTTCCCAGATCCACTTCAATCCCTAGAATAATATTGTTTTGTTTAAATACATACGCAGTTGAATAGGTAATGCTCGTGCGTGCATGTTTAAACATTCAAAAAGTATAAAAAAGGTAATGGTAAAAAGTAAGCATTCTTCCCCGCTGGACCACAGCCTCCCAGTTTCTCTGCGCAGAGGCAACAGTTCAGAGACAGTCTATGCACTGACAAGCTTTTTATGTTTTTGTATCATACCATCTTCCTGTTCTACAACTTGGTTTTGAACCCCTTGGCTTCACTTCCTGGTGGCACACCGGGAGGTGCCCTGTTCCTTTTTGTGGCTGTACGTTGCTCCACTGTGTACCGAGTCAGTCCTCCGTCGATGGAGCTGCTCTCCATCCTTTGCTGTTAAAAAAAATGTTGCAACAAATACTGCTGTACATAGTTTTGTGTGCATGTGTGTAAATGTATCTGTGATATAAACGCCTAGGAGTAAAATCGTCAGGTCAAAGAGTACATGTATTCCTATTGTGACAGCTTTGGCGGAATTGCCCTCCATGGAGGTTGTACAGTGTATACTCTCTAAAAGAGGATGTTCCCCGACATCTCACCACACACTGTGATCAAAGCCTTTTGATCTTTGTTGTGTGGTGGTTTTAGAACTGAGCTACGGGATAGATAACCTTGGTGCTAGAATAGGGGCAAACATGTGGGCGTGAGGACACCATGCATTGATTCGGAGCCCACCCCTCTCCTTGATCCATGAGTGTTTCTGGGTATCACAGCAGAGATGCCCCTCCCTGTCCTGTGATAGCTCCTTGGGCTACTAAAATATTTCCACACGTGTTGCCCCACAGATCTGCGCGGTGCCCCCCAACAAAGGAGGTAGGGGCAGGGATTCTGTCTCTTGATTTTTACTGGAAACACCACAGTCCCCAAAACACCATGAGCTGAAGTGCCCCCAGGCAGTACCGCCAATGTCAAGGGCAGGCGCCGGAGGCTGCCCACCTGCCCACCGCGCAAGCACACTGCAGCCTGATGGCATCTTCACAACGGTAGCTGCCATCACGGCTTCCTGTGATTTTCCCGAAGGTGATGGAAGCCGAGGGCTGCTGGAAAACTCCACAACCCAGAGTTGGCTGGCTCAGCCCCCACCCGCGTCCTCCACTGTACTTTAACCCATGCTGCTGGCCGCTTCCACTGCTCTGCCCCCGTCTGCATGCTCGGGGGTGTGGGCAGCACCCAGGTGATTCTGCCTGAGTCACTCCACCCCCCTTGGGACGTCTCCTGCCCCCCTCCTTCACCCTTTGCGTTCCTCCAGGCCACCTGTGGTGCTCCTGTAAGAGGGTTTACTGTAAGGTGTCCTCGTCACCAGTGCCTTCCTCTGTGCCCCCCCCCGCTCGCCTGCAAGGCCTCCACGTCTTCAGCCCTGAGACCCTCCCGCAAACCGTTTGTGGAAGAAATAAATGAAGGGCTCTAGGAAATGCACCCTGCTCTGGATTCCACATCCTTTGTCCTCCAACTCGGGTTCCTTGAACTCACGTTCAAGGAACTTGAGGAACTCGGGAGATTTGAATATTTCTACTCTGTTCCATGGAATGTGACTGTACACCAACGAGATCCCATGTCCCCTCTGGTTACATCCTTCATCTCAGTGTCCCCCTGAGACCTCAGGCCACTCAGCCCCACCTGGCCTCCCCTTCATGTGTCCCACCGGGCCTGATGCCCAAAGTTTCCACTCTAAAAATAATGTATATATGTGTGTGTGTGTGTGTGTGTGTGTGTGTGTGTGTGTATACACACACACACATATATATAATTTGAGATATAATTCACGTACCACATAACTCATTCATTTAAAGTGTACGATTCAATGGCTTTTAGTATGTGACTCTTCCATAAACACACCTTAAGTTGAAAATATCAAAAGTCGAAATGCATTTAATACCCCTAACTTACTGCACATCGCAGCTTAGCCCAGCCCACCTTAAATGCCCTCAGAGCGCTCACATGAGCCTACAGGTGGGCAAAGCCCTCTAACACAAAGCCTATCTTATGATAAAGTGTTGACTAGCTTGTGTAATTTACTGGACACTGTACTGAAGGTGAAAAGCAGCGTGGCCTTCTGGGTCCAGAGCGGCTGTCTGTCACGGTTTCCCCTGGTGATCCCGGGGCTGCCTGGGAGCTGCGGCTGCCGCCCTGCATCACCACAGAGGATTGGACCGCATATCACTGCCCAGGAAAAGAGCAAAATTCAAACTTTGAAGTACAGTTTCTGCTGAATTCGTATCACTTTCACACCATCATAAAGTCAAAAAATCGTCAATCAAACCATCGTAAGGCAGGGACTGTCTATATTCACAGTCATGCCTCTAGCACCGCAATCCATTTTAGAACATTTTCATCACTCCACGAAGAAACCCTGTACCCCTTAGCCATCACCCACTCCCACAGTCCTGAGCAACCACAAATCTCTTTTCTGTCTCCGTGGATTTGCCTGTTCTTGTCATTTCAGGGAACCATTCTCTGTGTGGCCTCAGTGACTGCCTTCTTTCACTCAGCATCATGTTTTCAAACTTTCCATTCTTTCCCCCAGGCCAGCTTACAAGGAGGGACCGATCAAGGTTGGGGTATGACCAGCTAATGTCCCTGAACTTAGCTCCACAGGAGGAAGGGCGCCAGGGAAACCAGAGTATTAAACGGCAGCGAAGTGAGGGGGAGACATCTTTTCTCTGCTGTCTTGGTCAGATCTGAGTCCACATTGGTTATATCAGAATCTGGGGGATACAAGAGATAACCAACTAATAAAAATAGGTATTAAAAGCTTGCTGTGCTCCAGGCACTAGGCCTAACCGTAGGAGATGTGCCAGCAGGATTTTGCAACGTAGGTAATATTAACATGCAGGACACAGCAGCCAGCTCCCCACCAAGTGCTCCAGCCAGCGCTGGAGGAATTCTGTGAGGACAACAGCTGGGAAGGAGTAGTCAAGGGAGGCTGCAAGGAGGAGGTGGCCTGTGAGCTGGGCCTTGAAGGGCACAAGGCTGGTTGGCAGAGGAGGGGAAGAATTCAGAGCCGAGGTATGTGTGGTGTTTGTACAGGGTTGCCGTGGAGACCAGGGGGACAGGAGCCACAGGGGAAAGGTTGGGCCAGACAACATCTACGAGAGCAATTGAAAGGAAACACCATCACTTATAGATGTGTGAGGGGGCACCGGCCCGTGGTGGTGAATGCTCCACATCTGTCCACCCCAGACAAACTCCACTTGTACTTGGAGCTTAGAGACGCCCACCCTGCTGTGCCCAGGCCTCCAGGGCAGAAGGTTCTGGATGCCCCCCTATGGTCACGGTGCCAGCAGCCAGCGGGACGTGGAGCGTGCAGCATGGTGGCAGCACCGCTCCTGCGGGAGCTGGCGGTCACCCTGGGTCCCCGGACGGAAGGGAGTGCTCTCGGGAAACAGGTCCAAGGTCACTCCCAGCCACATGGTCACACAGCGTCTCTCCGCTGGCCTCTGGTGCCAGCCCTTTCTTCGGTTGGAGCTCAGTCCTAAATGGAAAGCAGATCCTGAAAGAGATGAGAGGGCGGAGGGGGCAGGAAGGGGGCATTTCTGAGCCGTGGAGAGGGGAGCGGGCCAATCCGAGAGATGGCAGCTCTGCAGGAGGGGGTGCTGCTTGGGTGTGAGGTGAGACAGGGCAGTGTCTAGGGCTCCATACTGCTCCCAGCAGGGACGGGGCAGGGGGCACAGGAAGTCCGGGAAGGGGACTGGGAATGGGCGGACCCGGAGGTGGTGAGGGCCCCATCCTGTGGGCACACAGGGACACATGCCCGCCTAGGCTGCCACCCCTGCCCGAACACTTTAACGACCTGGGCATCTTCCAGATGCTCTGTAGGCTGTTTGTTCTCCACCCAGTTCACGAGCCTGGTGTGGTATGTTTCCAGTTGTGTTCCTTTAATGATTGGATCCCATGCCGAGAACAATAAAAACCAGATACCACTTCTCTTACTCTGGAAAACAGGAACCAAGACTTGGAGGCAGGCTTTTAATTCGGAAGGTGACCCCAGCAAGCAGGGAGGGAGGAGGAAGAGGGAGGGGGCGCATAAGTGCACTACCAAGGTTACCAGGTGGGTCCAGGCCAGCTGAAGATCACCCCTGGGGGTGTTAACACCTCTGTGCTTCAGGGCTGGGCTCAGCTGTGGACTGAATGGGCACTGGTGGCTTCAGGGGGGCCCTGTCCACACGGGGGACTGTCTACTACAGGTGCCCTGGAATCACAGGTGGCTGGGGGGTGAGCCCTGGGTCCACAAGCCCTGCCTCACCAGGAGAGACAATGCCAGGGCCCCCTCTATCTCCCTCTGCCCTTCTCTGCCGGTCTCTGTCACCTTTGTCCCCCTCTGGACCGGGTTCCTGGACCTTTCTCACCAGTGCACATCTCCTAGACCTTGACAGAACTTTGTTTTAAAAGCAGACGCTCTGAATGTGTGACTTCAGGGTGTCAAGGTCTGTTCTGAGTTATCTATTTTAAGAAAGTTGTTTTCCGCAAATAGCAGAAAGGACACACACACAAAGCTTTAGTTCCTGCAGACCAGACTCCTCAGCCAGCGCCATCGACCCACTCCGGAAGGCCCATGGTGTCGGTCTATTAGGCAGAATCTCCTACTTAGGGCACTCGTGGGCTACAAGCGACAGAAAGCCTAACTCAGACAGGCTTGAACAATAACAGAACCCGGGTAGGAAGTGGAGCCTTGGTGTGCTGTGAGGGGCAGATGTCAGGGTGGAATTCAGCATTGAGTGTGGCCTCCCAGGAAGGATAAAGGGAGGAAGCAGGGGCGGGCAGGGAGAGCCCTGGGCTGGACGCAGCTCTGACACTGTGGACTGAGGGGACGGGAGGATGGGTAGTGAGAGCCCCAGACAGCTGCCCATTTCAGAGGAGGCTCCGGCCGGGTAGACGGGCATTGCTGCTTCAAGCACCACGTCCCCTCCCGCAGGATCAGCCTGCCCTCGCTCCACATCAGTCGTGGCCATGGCTGTGGCCGGGAGCACGGCCTCGGGGCGGAGGGGAGCGAGGGGTGTGCTCTCCAGCAGGAGGCCTGAGCGGTGCATCTTCCCGCCCAACGTGGCAGCTCGTGCAAGGAGCTGGGCCGGGCCGAGCCTGGGGACGGGCTACAGGGTTCTCTCCGGGCTGGGGAGCTTTGCCGTCTGGCACTGACTCTGCTTGCATTGCTCAGCTCCTCAGAAGATACACGTGGTCTCTGGGCAACGGTGGGCAGGGGCGACATTTCAGGCACTTCCCTCCATACCCTGCATTTCCCGAGTTTCAGGGCCTTATGCTTAACAGGGCCTCCGGGACTAGTGATCTGGTGAACGAGAACTGGAAAATCCCACTGGGAAGTCAGCCTTGGACTCCATGGAAGGGGGTCCCATTGGGCCTGGTGTCAGTTGGAGCTCCTAGCCACAGGCCTAGAAATGAGTTCTAGCTTGTTTAAGTGGACCCCCCGAAATGTATTAAAGGGTATTGAGTAGCTCACAGAATCCCCAGGATGCACAGAACCAGGCTGGGTATTCCCAAGAAGTGTCCAAAGTCCAGAGCAAGGACACTGGACTCCCACACAGCGCTGGACGTGAACACCGTGACCCCGTGCCAGGCCCTGGACATGCCAGTAGGACTTTTGCACTGCTATGGACTGAATTGTGCCCCCCACCCCCACCCCGCTCCAAATTCATATGTTGAAGCTCTAACCTTTAATGTAACTATTTGAAGATAAGGCTTTTAGGAGGTAATTAAGGTTAAATGAGGTCAGAGCAGGGAAACCTAATCCCATAGGATTGGTGGCCTTATAACAAGAGGAAGAGAGAGAGATTTCTCTCAGCAGCACTTGACCATGTTGGTACCTTGATCTTGGACTTCCCAGCCTCAGGGAAGTGGGAAAATAAATTTCTGTTGTTTACTCCACGCAATCTGTGGTGTTGTGTTATGGCAGCCCAAGCAGACTAAGACAGCCACCCATCTCTGGAAACCAGGGGATCCTGCTTCGCACCTACTTCTGTGCAGTGGGTGCTGAGTCTGGCCCAGGACGTCCACCCATCAGTCTAGGTCCCATGGGGGCTTGCCACCGCAGCCCCTGGGGGGCTGGGAAAGTGAGTTTTTGAGCCCCTCTCCCATTCTAGAGACCAAGCATAGCGAAGATTTGACAGATGCTGGGTGGGCAGAAGAACTGACAAAGCCCTCCCAACATCAGGACAGTGGACTTGAGGGAGGTCTCCAGAAAGGTTGGGACCAGCTGCCAGGAGACATCGCCCATGTGGTCATACTTCTTGGTAAGTCACCAAGTCTCAGGATGGGTGATTAGCTTTGTAGGCTAAAAAAAAACACCCCACTATTTTCAGCACACCGAGAACAGATCTATTTCTTGGTTCATAAAAACTACCCAGAGCTAAGGTTTTCTCACCTCCGTGGCACAGATAATGGGCACGTGTGTGGACCGGCATACGTACACCAGCGCTCTACCAGCTGGGCGACACAGGGAACCAGTCCAACAGCTGCAGGGGGATTGCAAGGACGATCTGGAACGGGGCCGAAGCCCGGCCACCCTTCCCGTAGACCGTGTGTGGAAGGGTGTTTGTAGTTCCCTGCTCTGTGCCCTTGGATGACCGTTTTCCCACTATTCTCTTCTCTTGGAGTTTCTCCAAAAAGGTTCTTCTTATTAAATTAGAGTAAACTCTTATTTCTGTCTCCCTGCAGGTGACAACAGGGCAACCTCGTTCCTTCTTTTGTTTCCCCAGATTCTTACGGGGCAAGTCACGGCTGCTCTTGCTTACTGCCAACACTTATTTCTAGAAAAGGTTACAGAGGCTAAAGGCGCAACCACTGTCCCTCCCCACACCCCGAGCCCCACCCGGCTCGGTATGTGCCCTCACCTGCCCCATAGAAGTGCACATCTTTGAGTCAGTTGCTTGCCTCAGATCTACATGTTTTCTGAAGTGTTTAGAAACTGTTTTCCTTAGAGGAATTCATACCACTAACTGATAGAATTTTATTAATCTCTGTGCCTTGCAAAATGAATTTCTGTGGAGCCACATTATAGTCTTGGTGATGCCTAAGCCTCGGTTTCCACATCAGCATAATGGGAAACACGCCCCCCATCTGCCTTTGTTAAGTGATTATTATGCACCTGTTACGTGCAGGACTGGGCTGCATTCAGGTTGTGCTTGGTGGGCTCTGGTGGTGTGAGCCCTGAGTTGATGAGACCAGGGCTGGTGGGTTCAGTCCCCATCTGGACGAGGTGGGCTTGCTCTGCCCAGCCCCCTGCTTCTCTAATGAACACCCCGGCACACAAAGGGGGCTGGAATGACGCGGCATTCTTACCAGACGAAGGTCTCTATCCATTCCCTTGGCAAACGTACTCAACGTCTAACAGTAAACGCTTCCACATGTATCTTCCTGCGATCTCTGAGTTAAAGGACAAGGGAACCGTGGGTTTAGTGTCATGTCTGACCCCTGGGGGTTAATATCAACCTGGCTTGTGTGGTGTTTGTTTCTCTGTTGGTCAGTGGCCCTAAACAGACATACCTACGGCTCTACCTTGGCCCCAAGACATGGCTGGGCTCATGGATTTGGATGAAGCTGTCCCTTGGAAGCCCTTGCAAAATCTCCATCTTGGTGTCCATTTTCCTTGGCACTTGGAAGCCAAACATAAGCGAAGAATGTTAATAACAGCATTGGGTGTTTAATGAGCATTTACTGTATGTCAGGCACTTTTCTTACACGGTCTTCTTTACTCCGCACAACGCCACTCTAACATCTATATTCAGATGGAGACATGAGCTGAGAAAAAAGAGACTTATTCAAGTTACTCGGCTAGTAAATGGCAGAGCAGGGACCCAAGGCCAGGATTCTCTACCCACACCGGTAAACCCTTCTCTGTCAGTGAGAATCCTCTAGGGGATGGATGGGGAAAAGTACAGATCCTTGAACTTGACCCCCTAAACTGTGATATACTTGGTCTGGGGTGGGGTCCAGGAGTTTGCATTTTTTTTTAATAAATTTATTTATTTATTTATTTTGGGCTGCATTGTGTCTTCGTTGCTGCGCTCAGGCTTTCTCTAGTTGCAGCGAGAGGGGGCTACTCGTCCTTGCAGTGCACAGGCTTCTCATTGTGGTGGCTTCTCTTGTGGAGCACGGGCTCTAGGCGCACGGGCTTCAGTAGTTGTGGCACGCGGGCTCTAGAGTTCAGGCTCAGTAGTTGTGGCGCACGGGCTTAGCTGCTCTGCGGCATGTGGGATCTTCCCGGACCAGAGCTTGAACCCGCGTCCCCTGCATTGCAGGCAGATTCTTAACCACCGCACCACCAGGGAAGTCCCAGGAGTTTGCATTTTTGACAAGACTTCTAAGTAATTCCAGTGCAGGTGTTGGAGTGACGACACTTACATACCGTCTTCATGAGTTGGTAGTTGTTGACAGTGGGTGATGGGAAAGTGGAATGTCATGATTCTGTTCTACTTGTCAATGGGTTTAAATTTTCATACCAAAAAGTAAAAAAAAAAACTGAACTGCACACATGCAAGAGACCTGGCAACGCGTCCTTTAAAAAACTGCTAATTCACGGTCTGGCTTGCAAGCCAGAGATGTGTCCTGAGAGACCAGAATTAAAGGATCAAGGCTGCCTTGGTAAGGGAGGGACCTGAGCAAAAGGCAAGAAAGTCCGTGATTCTCTCCACTCCCAGAAGACAGTTTAGGGCATGTAGATTTGCAAACTAGCCTATCTGGTTTCTGAAATGTCAGATTCAGAACTCTTTCTTCACTGACACCCCACCCCCAATCCTTCTGGGATTTTTGCACTTGAGTCTTCCTTCTCCAGGTTCAACATATTTTGTTATCCTGCCTTGATTTAAATATCCGGCCACAGAAAGGAGAAATTGGAAACCTCTTCAGCGCCAGAGGAAGGTCCATTCAGCAGGGCGGAGATTGTTTGTAGAGGGAACACCCAAAGCAGCTTGCTCCCCCTCCCCCATGGCCTGAACACAAGGACAGCCCATAAATACAGTTTGCTTTTGGGAATCTGCTGAAAATACCCTGTACCCAGATGAGTGACGGAAAATGTAAACGCAAGTGGAACGAATTTGCAGGGTACAGCATTTTTCTTCTCTGAATCATCAAGCTGTATGTAAACCTCCACAAAAGATAAAGATTGAGGTAGGAGAACCTTGTCACACCTTCTGTTGGCAGTTGAACCCCAACTGAGCGTGTGGTTGACCCAAGTCCCATTTTTGGTGACGGGGCCTGATTTCCCCCGGGCTCCCCTCCTGCAGCCGGCAGCCCTGGGAACCATCTCCTGAGTCAGGCCAGCGGGCACCTCCCACCCGCCAGCCTCAGATTGTGGTAGGAAGACACAGAGGTAACGGAGTACCTCATGAACAGTTTTGCTGAGGGTAAGCCTAGATGCCAGTAGTTACTAGAATTCTGAGCTCATTAATTAGGCCTGTCTTTAAAAAAAAAAGAAGAACATTCATCCTTCTTTCCCTTCACAGTGTTGGACAGTAGTTGGCTACATGGAGAGCATGAGGAGAAAAGCAATTTGAGCTCTGGAGCCATTTAGTCCTGGGTTCAAGTCCAGCTCAGCCCAGTGACCTTGAGTGAATAACTACATCTCTTCCTACTGTGGTATCCCAACTTTACAGTGGAGGCAGCACCGTGCTCTGTGACAGGTGATGGCGGGAGTCATGTCCCAGGGCGTTTGTGGGGCCTTGCCAAGGTCACGCTCTGTACATTGTCCCTCCACGCCCTTTCCCCACCCTTTTAGGGTGTGGTGAGAGTTTTCTTGCTTAATATGACCCCGTTCACTGTCGGGGCCTCCTGTGCCCTTGGGCCACTGCTGCCCTGAGCCTGGGCTTTGCATTGCCCCCTGGCCAGCCCGCCTGGAGCCCTGTGTTGCCCTGGGCCCGGGTCACTGGCTGGCCTTGTCTAACCTGGCTCCTGGTCAGGTGCTCGGTCCTCTGTGTGCCCTGCATTTCCCACCGCGGGGGCTCGGGAACCTCTTCCAGGGCCCGACCCAGTCCTCGGGCTCCCAGGGTTGGGTGGGGTGCTCAGGCCTGTGGTGTTCACCTCTCAGCATCCCCACCGAGAAGAGAGCATTTGGTCTTTGCGTTTCCGCTGCTCTCCCGCCGAGGCAACGGCCACATCAGCCCTCCACCTCCTCCAGCCTTGGGGATCCTTGGGAGGCTGGCGCGCGAGCAGGGGAAGCACGAGTGAGTTTCTCAGAAGGTCACTCAATGGTCCCACAAAGCAGCGGGGGCTTCTCCAGCCGCTGGTCAGGATGAGGGACCCTGGAAATGTGGCAGCGGCAGTACCCCCGCTACGCTGCCCCGCGATGCCTACCGACGACCCCCAAGGATGGCCCCATCAGGGTCGAGCAGACACTGCTGTTACTCCCCAGACAAAGCCCCTCCAGCCTGGGAAGGGTCTGAGAGAGGGCGACTGGGTTCCAGGGACATGACCCTGTTTTTACCTAGGTGCGTGAGCTTGTCCTCTGACCGACGCTCAGCGTTCTGGGTGAGTGAACAACTCTTGGTCCCTCCCTGAGTTTTACCTGGTGAAACGGAGTGCTTGCAGGGCTGGAGCTCCCGGGGCGGCTGCAGGTGGCAGGGACCTCGTTGGCGTATCCTGAGGCAGAGGCAGGGCTGGGCCTGACAGCCTCATCCTCCCTGTAGGTAGACACCTCTGGAGTGTGTATTCAAGCGCCCTTCTCCTTGCGGTCCTGGCCCAGAGGCCAAGGGAACCACAGTGGCCTCAGGGTCAGGTCTGAGCAGTATAAGCAACGCCAGAGCATGTTCTGGAGGCAGCCTGCAGGGACATCGGCCTGAGCTGCTGTCGCTGCCACAGTAACGCTCCCGCCAAGCAGGTTTGCATCTTTCTTGTGAATGCATATCTTGGAAGCAAGTGGGGAAGGCTTCCGCCAATGACATTATAAAACCAGTTGGCCTTCCAGGGTGCATCTGAGCGAAGCAGATCACTGGCGGTCGCACACACTCTGGCCCCCGTTTTCCCCTTGGTGTCCTCCTGGACTCACCTTTACAGTTTATCAGTATCCATCATGGGACGATGCTCTGACCCTTTCAGGACCTGTTTCATGGCCTGGGGGTGCTAGTGAAGGAGACATTTGGAGGATCTCACTGGATAAAGGCAGGGCAAGGGGGGAGCCTGACTTCCAGGTCCAGGGCCGTGAACAGGTTTTCCGGCTCCCTCACCTCTAACTACTCATTCGCTCCCGCAAGGAAGCCTTGGTTTCTCCTTTGGTGTCCCGGGGCCAAGAGGCAGAGAGGCCAGTGGCTCAGAGCCCGGACTCTGGGGCCAGACGGCATGAGTTCTCCGCAGCTCTGACTCTCCCCAGCTTTGGTGCCTCGGGAAAGTCATGTGATCTCCCGGTACTTCCTCATCTCTCAGGGGCCACAAAGCCTCCCTCAAGGGGTGTGGTGAGATTAAATCAGCTACTGTTTGTAGATCGCCCCAAACAATGCCTGATGCAGAATAACCACCTAACACAAGGGCTGGGGAATATGCGCTTTCTCATCCGTGAGTGTTCAAAAGAACTGATGCTTGCCCTTCCACTAAAGCATTCTAATCGCATCTTTCTAGGATACGCATCCCTGACCGTCCAGGCAGCCCCCCCACACACACACTCTCGTGAGCCTTCTTTGCATGCCTCAGGCAACACCACTGTGGGTGGCCGAGGCTCAGCCTGCACTGGCCTGGGTCTCCCGCAGACAGCTTCCCTCCACCGTCCCCGGGGCCCCTCTCATACACTGCAGCCAGGACACCGGCTAGGACAGGCCAGCTGGCAGCCTTGTGGCAAGAGCAAGTGCGCCACACAAGCCCAAGGACTCCGGCTGCACCAGGCACGCTGTGGCATCAGAACCCGCCGTCACAGCTGGGGCTGCAGGACGGTAGGGGGCCCAGGGTGTGACTGCTGGGGAGATGGCTAAGTCACACCCTGCCCCTGGTCCCCTACTGATGGCAAAGGTCATTTTCAGTGCTTTGTAGTTTGCTCTGTCAGTTGTGTCCCTGGGCGTCATTGGGAAGGCCTTAATTGGCTTGGAGAAATGGGGCCTTTGACACGGCTTGGTGGTTGAAGCTGCCTGTGAGCAGGGGCTCCCCTTGTCCGATCCAAACCCATTTGGGCTGGTTTTCGCTCTGATGGGGAGCTGCAGCCCCGGGTCACACTGACACTGGCTAAATAGTTTGGTATTGCACCTTTCACTCCAAGGCAAGATGCCGTCTGTTTCTGACCTGCCTGACAGGGCAGTTCCACAGACCTTGTTTCATCTTTCCCCTAACCAGCAGGGCTCAGGAGACCCAGGCTCCAAGCCTGAAGTCCTACCTCCAGTGGCCCTGATCTTGGCAGTCAGGGGGCACAGCCCTAAGCTGGTGTGTGCAGCTGTCCAGTAAAGAGGCAATAGGAGAGGTGGCGTTGGAGGCCAGCCCTGTCCCTGAGACCCCTGCCGGCCTGAAGCTGGCTTAGAGCGTGCCCCAGGAGAACAGGCAGACCTGCGGCCCTTGCTTTAACCCGGGATGGGCCCCAGAGCCTGGGCACTCAGACAGAGGTGGACATTCACCCAAATCCTTAGACGCCCCAGGAGGGCCTCAGGGAGCTGATCTTTTGGACCACAGGATTGGTTTCTTTCTGGGCCCTTGTAAAAACTGACTGCAGTGACTCTCACACCCGCTTCTCTCTGAAAAGTCCCGGTTTCCCTTCCTGGGCCTGCAGCTGCTCAGCTGCCTGGGCACAGCCTTGTGCCACGTCCCCTTACGTAAGAAGGCAAATCAAGAACTGGCCTGACGGGGACATGTGCCTCCTAAGTCAGGCTCCCAGGTCGGCTGAGCTTAGGAGTCGGGGACAACTTCCCCCTCCATCCCTGCCGGACAGAGAGACACGGCCTCAGCCAGGGAGATCACAGCGCAGCACGACAAAGCCGCAAAACAACCTTTCGTGTATTCATAACATCGTATTAGGTACCCGTGTGTACCGACCCAGCCCCCTCACTGCCTGTCTCCCTAAGGAGTGTCTGTCGGGCACAGCTCGGCTGCAGCGGGAACACACCCGACGGTCCCCAGGGCCAGCGCTGTGTGATGGACGGTGTTGGCAGGGGATGTGCTCTGTGTTCAGTCTGCTGGACTAATCCTGTTTGGGGCTTAGTGCTCGACAACAACTTTACCAGCAGGATTAACTTCTGATTCTCGTACATCTGTCTGTGTGTGTGTGTGTGTGTGTGTGTGTGTGTGTGTGTGTGTGTTTTATGACCAGACTGAGAAAAGGGAACAAACGCAATAATTTGGGCCCTTCTCTTATCAGCAGGAATGAGAAGGAAACCTGACATCCTGCTTGGACTCTGATACCAGCAGCTTGATAAGAGAACATTTCATCATGTATTTCAGACGCCCGGGGCCTCTGCTCGGGGCAGCTGAAAGTACATCCCAGTTGCCTTTACGTTTTATCAGAACCTTGAGAAATTCTCATTAACCTGCTCATCGTTAGAAATGAGTTTGGCATTTGGCTGGTCAATTCAGTGGGGTATCTTACAGTAGATAGTATCTGATACTCAAAAAAAAAAACCCTCGTTCAGCTCAGGGTTCTTTGTTTCCTGTTGCTGAGGCTGCCAGGGATAGGACTGTTGAGTACTAACTGGACATGCTGTGTCCGCTGAGTCCTAGGTTCGGGGGTTGGTCAGACTTGGGTTCAAAACCTGGTCCCCACCACTCCGCAGCCTTACTCCTACAGTGCTTTTCTGACCAGTAGCATCCCTCCCCGCGCCTCCAAGCCTTGGCATCCACAGAGGGATAAATACCTCCCTCACACATGGTGCTGGGCTCCCTTAGACGAGACGTGTAGCCCAGCACAATAATGCAGGGGTTCCACAAATGCTCCAGTGCTGGTCTCCTCCCCTCTTTTCCTCTCCTGTGAGATTTTTCTGCTGAATACAAACCTCAAATAAAGGCAAGCAGCACCCTCCAGAGAAAGTGTGCATGCCTTTTGTGAACACGTGCATGAACGTTCAGATGGCATCGTCTGTAATAGTCCCAATGGAGAAACTCCCCAGATGCCCACAGCAGTCGAAATCATAAATACACTGCAGTAAGCTCACATGATGGAATGTTCTGTAGCAACGTGAAGAAACAGTCTACAGCCACGTGCAGCAAGTATGGTAAACCTCACAAATAATATGAGCAAAAGGAGCCTGACGTAAAAGAATATGAAACACGAAACAGGCAAGACTCGTATATGATGTTAGAATCGTGATTATCTTCGGCGGTGGGTGGTGCCTCCGAGGGGCTTCTGGGACCTGGTGCCGTTCGGTTCCTTAACTGAGAGCTGCTTCCACGGATGCACTCACTTTGTGCAAATTCTTCCAGTCATACACTCAAGATTGGTACATTTTTCTGCATTATGCTCCAATAAAATGTTTATTTATTTAGTTAGTTAATTAGTTAGTTTTGGCTGCGTTGGGTCTTCGTTGCTGCATGTGGGCTTTCTCTAGTTGCGGCGAGCGGGGGCTACTCTTCGCTGCGGTGCGCAGGCTTCTCATTGCGGTGGCTTCTCTTGTTCCAGAGCACAGCCTCTAGGTGCGCGGGCTTCAGTAGTTGTGGCACGCAGGCTCAGTAGTTGTGGCGCGTGGGCTCTAGAGCGCAGGCTCAGTAGTTGTGGCGTGCAGGCTCAGTAGTTGTGGCGCACGGGCTTAGTCGCTCTGCGGCCTGTGGGGTCTTCCCGGACCAGGGCTCGAACCTGTGTCCCCTGCATTGGCAGCAGATTCTTAACCACTGTGCCACCAGGGAAGTCCCTAAAACGTTTTTTAAAACCACGAGTAGCAAGGTGATATGAGAGGAGGAATGCTATCGAGTTCATTTCATCAGTAATACAGACGGAGGAGAGTGGGGGAGCGTCAACTCCTGGGGCTGGAGCTTGGGAGCAGAATTGCTGCCGTCCAGGCTGGTCCAGATGCTAGCAGGTTGAGAACACTGATCTATTTGCCCATTGGTAAAATAAGTTGGAAACACGCCGGAGAAGCAGCGGGGGAGTTCTGCAAACAGATTTTCTTGCTTAGAGCAGCTGCAGAGGGGTATTCGTCATGGCAGAGAAGAGCCACTTTCCCTTCTGTGCCTCTGGTACCCACTGATGAGTGAGTCAAAGAACTTGAAATGGCATTAAAGAAGGTTGAGCTGCTCTCAGCGATTGTGAGAGACTGGAAGGGAGGGCGGGGTGGGCGGGGGTCTTTCAGCCCAGGGTTCCCTTTCTCTTTGGGCAAACTGGTGCATACTTCACTGGAGGGAGAAAACAGATCCAGGGAGAAATGAGCGGTGCCAAGGACGCGTAAGGATGCTTGGAGGCAAAACTGTGCCATTGGCAGCTGGACATCCGCTTTACTTTGTTCCAGTTCTCCGGCTGTAACCTCCAGCTTCTGGCCTTGGGGGCTCATCTGCAGTCCTGAACTTGAGCCCCTCCCAGGATACCTCTGGTCTCTGGTCTCCCCCGCTTACCGTCATCCCACCCCCCCAGTCACATCGCTCATCCTTCACACGATCACAATTAATTCATGCTACTGTCTTATCCAATCATTTGGATATTTTAACTTGGGGTTCTTGGGACTGTGAATGCTCCATCCTGAGCACTAAGTTATTAGCAGGTGACTGTTAAAGTTCAGAGTTGCATTTGTCTGTGCACAGAATGGATATGGCGTGCCCTGGATGGGCTTACTAGCGGACGAGGAGAGAAATCAAACCTATATAAGAGATAAGTTAGACGAGCAGATGGGAACACAACTGGTGAGCCTTCAGGAATGGGCTTGGTGTGTGGATCTGGTTCTCGGGTTCAGGGTAGACCTGCACCCCAGCCTGTCCCCTGTCAGCAGTGATGAAGAGTCTGGCTGAAATGTCAAGGTCTACTTTCTCACATCAGGGAGGAGAGCCAATGAGTGCCTTTGAATTTCCCTTTGACAGTGCGGGAGGGGGAGTGGTCTCCCTCCCTTTTGAAGGACAGGGACCAGGGATATTGGGAATGTGGAAGACGAGCTCGGGCTAACCCAACAAAAGTTGACTTTTTCTGAAAATTGAACTGTTAATCATTGTGTCTTTCTTATTAAAAAGGCATGTTGTAGAACAACACTGTCCAGTAGAACTTTGTGCAAAATGAAGTGTTCTGTGTCTGTGCTGTCCAATATGGTAGCCACTGGCCGCCACAAATATGGACAGTGCACCTGTTCCTGGGGTTGCTGTAACAAAGCACCACAAACCGGGTGGCTTAAAGCAACGGGAACTTGTCTCTCATGGTTCTGGAGGCTGGAAGTCTAAAATCAAGGTGTCAGTAGGTCGGCTCCTGTTAATAGGCTCTAAGGGAGAATCTTCCAGGCCTGT